TGGCATTTATATACTCTGAATCGACTGCATAATAAAAGTAAAAGGGACTGAGGACAATCTGTTTTATTTTATTACACTTCATGATTTCATTTGGTCTTGACGCACAAAACCAGTTTGTATTGTTTGTAAAACTAGTTTCGTTTTATTGAAAACATCCTCAGTTGCAAGTCTTGTCTAAGCATACACCAGTACCTCCATCTGACTTTCGGCCAAGAATATCTTACGTTAGACCACTTAGTGATACACCTTCAGATAACCTATCATAGCTGTCAATGCCATTATGTTGTTACTGTTTAGCGTGATTTGAAAACGTTATCCTACCTCTCCTGGATGAAAAGTACAATACAAACTGATTCTGTGCGTCAAGACCAAATGAAATCAAGATGAAATTAATATCAAAGTCTTGCGAGGCCAAAATACTCAATATATCAAAGGTTTAATAAAGGTTGCGGAAGATTAGTATAGCCTTCTCTGCGATCAATTCTTATTAGAACCAGGCTTCATCAGTCTTTTCCAACACAGTAAATGACAGCACGTAGATGTGCATGACATGTTCAACGTACGTTTGTGTGTTCAATCAAGCAACATGGCAGCCGTTCTTTTGATGTCAAGGAAATGATTGAATGATAACAATGAATTACTCCTCTTTTTAAATCAGTGCAAATAATTATAAAAGAATTTAATTAAAAACTAGACGATCATAGATCGCTTACGTGGGCTTCCTGTAGCATCTACAATGAATAAGGTGCCAGTAACCAGGCCCTCTCGTTATTACAATGCATTCTGGGTATGCCAAGGGGCAAGCAACACGAAGCGAGTAAGATATAAAGTATGGGGATTTTGTTGTCAGCGTGGTTTTTCTTCGTTTTATTGCTATTTGACCGATAGCATTTTCGAAAATTCGATGATAGTGGACCCGAACAATCTCTAGGCTTCGATTATGTAAGTTTTTCATACGTATTTGATGTGATATCGATATCACACCTTGGATTCTATCGGAAGTGTCATTGTGAAATGTACACACCAATGTTTTCTCATGTTTTCTAGTCTGTAAAAGTATATAAACTTGTAGATATTTTGAGTATTACAGATAGCAAAGAAGTGGTTTGACTGTGTTTACTTTTTTTAATCTTACGAAAGTTCGATATTTATAACATGTATGGGAATCAAAGAGAAATAGTGGTTCGTGGAGACGATATATTGCTTTTATCGATCAATAGCTAGCTCTATGGAGACACGGAAATAATGACAAAAACTACCGAGAAATTCGTTAACTATGCTATGATTTAATTGAAAATAAATGAAGAAAACCAGCATCGTTTCATGCCTTCTTGTTTGYGAAGAAGTCTGTTCCGCAGCATGTGACTTTGGGTCGAAGAGAAGGTACTTGATATGGACATTTTTTAAAAGCTGTGCCTCATTGATCGTACTATATTATATCTTTTTTTCTCTTAAATCCAAGCAATGGCTCATTTTAAAGCCACTGGCAGGACTCAAGTCTCCATCAGTATTCTTAGCCTCTACAAACATGTCACTGTCGAAGTGACTAATATATGAGCGATTGCCGCTCAAAGTCTTCAATGGACTAAATGAGCGCTAGTTTTCAAATGTATAGAAAAAATCACCAAAACCGTATCCAAGTAAGTAATGACTATTAACACTTTATTAACAATCTAAAACAGATTCCAAATCATACTAGAACGTTTTATTTCGAGCACCTTTGGTTTCTTGTCACACTTAGCGTGACGATCGGCTCCCGCTCAAAGTCTTCGATGTACTAATAAATGAGCGCTCATACAGCCACTTTGGTAATCGCGTCCTATTACACTGACTTTTCATGATTATAACCCTGCTACAAATCATTTTAATCTTTGATTTCCAAACACTAACAATTGCTGTACATTAACTGTTCCTTAAAATTCTGTTGTTCGGCCCCCATTAAAATTAACTTGGCACAAAATCAGCCATCTACTGATGATGAAGCATGCATTTAAAATCGCCGATTCAATATTCTTTCAACAAAAAAAGCGCACTCAATACTCACGTAGCTCAACAAGAAAACATTTTATTGTGTAATGCTCAACATATCAACAAGTTTATATACCTTTCAGTTAGAGGCTGGTGTGTACATTTTACAATAACACTCTCGATAGAATCCAAGGTATTTTGTTGATATCACATCAAATACGTATGAAAAACTTACATAATCGAAGCCTAGACATTGTTCGGGTCCACTATCATCGAATTTTCCGAAATAATATCGGTTAAATAGCAATAAATGATTGCTGAAGCCATTGAGAAGGGAAAGTGCAACAATATCAAGAACAAAGCCCTTCCCAAAGTTTACAAAAAAGCTCTTGAAGAAACAACAAAATCCCCATACTTCATCTTACTCGCTTCGTGTTGTTTGCCACTTGGCATACCCAAAATGCATTGTAATAACGAGAGGGCCTGGTTACTGGCAACTTATTCATTGGCCAGCAACCAAAGTTGAACGATGAGTATTTCATTTTCACGATGCAGTTCGTTGTTTGAAATAACTCAAGACAGAATTAAGTCAATAAAAGTAAGTTACATCTTTATAATACCCTAGTGCTAAAGTCTTTGGTTTTGTCATATGATTGTGACAGGGGTTTATTTTAATATGTAATTTGTTTATTTATTGTCCCTTGGGCCTTGGTAGACTCTTTTAAGGAGTCGCGCTTTGTGCGTGACAGAGAGTTCGACCGCGGTACCGGCCAAAAGTAGAGTACGGAGACGTGAATGCACCCAGCTACAGGAGGCGAGTTAGGCCATTGAAACATATGTACGAGTGCTCAGGAACAGAATAAAACCGACGTCGTTACATTTTGGCGCCCAACATGGGGCCTAAACTAACTGGCTTGGCTGGAAATCCAGTGCTTAACAAGGTCATATAAACGCGGTGCAACTCAAAGGACTCTACAGCTAGATTCTAGTGCTTGAAGTCAATATTCTGGTACAGTCTATAAAGGAACTAGCATAAGAGTTTAAATTACAAGTCTACTGGAATTTATTTCCCAGTGAGTACATTTTAAGGAGTCAAAGCAACTTCTTGTGGAGACAGCTCACCACTGAATTTGTGCACGCGAGTGGGATTAATCGACGCTGCAATTTTGCTGTATATGCAAGTTGAATTTATATGGAAACTGCTCGTCGCTATATTTTGCTGGATATACAAGTTGAATTTATATGARAACKTCTCGTCGCTATATTTTGCTGATTACGAGTTGAATACATCAAGAAGAAAAGAAAAGTTGAAATTACGCCCATCCTATTACTCAGATTGTTTTATTCCTTTCATCTACGAAGTTGCCAATTTCACTACTAAAGATAACGKTCATCCTGGTACTTAATCTACCTGGCTTGAAGAAAAGGTTGCCGCCGAACAGATTTGCTGAGCAAGTTTTCRATAAGGCACAMGATAAAGCGTGGACRAAATTYTGGAGATCGATAAGTAGTCACATTGATRAWATTATAGTTTGAATTTGCWTATTTKTATTAATAGAAGTAATATTATAATATCAAATTATTGCTACAGTATTGGATATCGTGTTTAAATATTGTACAAAAATCTTATATTTATTGGAACTATTTACGCTTCGTTTGATCGAAAATCGAAGGACATATGAACTTCTAATCAGATTAACTGTCAATTGGACGTTGTATAAGCCCTTGAGGGACTTGAGTCTTTGTGTAATTAAGCGAAAAACTTATGTTGCTTACCTAGCCAAAATTAGATCTATTGTATTGAATATTTATCTGGGCGAACTTTTCTTTCTGAATTTGTGGTGTGGCGGGTCTCATTTGGGAGGGTTGCCTGCCTCAGTTGAACTCTGTGTTGCGCCGAAGCCGTATCCATAAGTGAGTCTCTGGGAGGGCGTGCCCCTGCAATATTTTCGAATTTTTGCCATCATCGTTCGAGAGAGTGTGTATTGGGGGGAGTTACTTTAATATTTCTGTTTGTTTGTTTATTTATTTTCGAGGAAAGTTTGAGTAGAATATATTTGATTTTGTGCTGTTGGCCATGACATCGTTACTCAGAGAGCCTTCCTTAAGTCGCTTGGATACAGATGAGGAAGTGAACAGGATTGCTGATGCTGTCTTAACGCTTCGAAGGTCGGGTCTGTTTAGAGTCGAACCTGTTCTAGACATTGCTGAACAAGAA